GATGAATAGATCTATGGGCTTCTTTCACTCTATTCTGGACGCAATAATGATGCTACAGGATGACCCTGCGCGGCGTCAAATAGGCCAGAATTGGGGTCATTTGTTCGGGCTTAATGGCCGCATTTCTTAGAATTCGCCCATTCGGCTCCGTCGGCCGCTTGTTCAACCAGCTTTACGCTTCTGCGGGAGACTGAACAATTAGGATTAGCGTCACGATAAGCTGGCATTTGGGTCGTCCTCGGCTGCAAAGAGCTCTGTATGGCAGCGTGAAGCAGGCGTGTGAACAACCCCTATCACGGTTTCAGTAATAGCGTCAAGTGGTGAGACTGGATACGTTCCTCTTAGGGAAGAAGAAGAGCGAATTGTTCCATATTCGTATTACACCAAGTAGTTTTTAATATTTCTCCATTTAATAGGCAGTTTACAGGCCGAAATGTAGAGCAACTATTCGCCAACCCATTGATTGGTACACTCATTCTGTCGACCCAAGACAGCCAAAATACTATAGTGCTGATATGAAGACCAAGATGATATGGCCTTAAGTATGGTGACAGTCTTCTTTAGCTGTAAAAATGTGGTTTTTGCAACTTGGTCTGGGCAGGAGTACCGTGTCCTATACCATATTATTTGGGATAATTTTCTAGCCCGGAGCAACAACTTGTCAAAGAGGCCATTTTTTATGTTCGATCGCTGTGGCCTATCTTCCACTTCATGCCGCTCCATCTTTTAGGGTTCTACCTTCATCCCTCAATCTCACTTCATATATCCAATTTGCCTATTCTACACCGCTCTCTTTCTCTCTCTTCGCCCGTGACAACATCTCCCAAAGGGGCGTAAACCTAAGTGGATCTAGCCAAGCGTATTTACTTTTACCACCGGTTTCGCAAACCGTCTGCAGGGCTTGTTGATCCCAATTGGTACTTCCACTTTACCATCCACTTTACCGACCCTCTTTCACCTATTTACTATTGCACTTGAAAATCCTTGTCTTTTCTAACTTTTACCGCGTATCCAAGGCTCCGTTCGCCTGACCGCCCCCCAGCAAGTGATAAAGCATATACGGCAGGATGGCTTTTATACCTGTGATTCTCCCGAATTTCTCTATTTTAAGGATGTAATCTATCATATCATTTTGCCTCACCAAATTCCATAACATTCTCTGGGGCTCCTGCATTTGACTTTCTTTGGAATTGCTGTATTTAATCGCTTTTGAATACAGTATACCACTTGTCTTTCTCTCCAAAGTTATCCCTCTATTTACTAATTCGTGGGCCTAACTTCACTCAGTTCAACGTGTGCACAAAAGTTAGTAAACTCTATTGTCGAGCGTGATAACATGGAGCACTCCCATCATTCGGCCAACTAAGATGATACATTCCGCCTTGTCTGCTACACTCAATTGGAGTTAGAAGAGTCTAAGGTACTGAAATTCGCATCTCTAGCGGTAGACTTTTAAGATATTTGTGATCCCTCATGTATACATCCTCCCGACAACACTTTAATGCTGCTTCCATGAGCTTGTTTTAGTGACCAATTGTTTCAAGTGATTTGAGAATCGGAAGTCTTCTCGTACTGCATAAGAGATTTTGATAAAATACCTTTTAGGTCAGTTTCATTCTAAGATGGCAGATCGTTCTCAAACCACTTTATCAGATCAACCTTTGAGTACGGAGAATAGGCGCCGAGCTTTCTTATTTCTGCTGACTAGCAAGATTATAGTGAGAACTTGAGTCAGCCCAGGTCGCTCAATGTGATTCGAGAACTGATAATGTAATTTCCTACAATGAAATGGAAATAAATTTATCGTCTTTGAGTAGGTTTTCAAGACTACCAGTAACTCAGGTATATGAAATGCGCTCACTCGCTTCCATTTAAGGTTATGAAGGACTGTTAATTGAATTTTGTCACAATGATATGAGTAGATCTTGCGTTTCTATTGAAGTTAACAGTCTTCCTTTCCCAAAAAGTATTCTCATTCAGCATATACAGCAGGACTCAGACCATGACAGTTCCCCCGAGGGATTACTACACGTCAATCACTACGCCACATTACCATGAGTGCCCTTGGGCTACAGGGCAGATGCGAATTTAATAGAAGGCCAGGTATTTTTCTATATCGCATTCTGTGGTTGGATTATCGGGGAAGCAAGCTTATAGTTGCCATAACAATCGACAAAATTACTTATTTTTAGTTATCGAATAGGTTTTTGATTATATCTGGTTCACTGGTGGTCTTGAAAACCTACTTAAAATACGAAAAATAGGTAATGTCGTTGATTGCTTTAACAAATATAATTTTGTTTAATCGACGGTCCCACCACAGAATGTGATATAGAAAAATGCCTGGTTTTCATTGAAATTCACATCT